CCAAAAGAGACACTCAATTTCATTACTGGTTTGCGGTGAAGCAAATAAAGTTGATGAATAAGCAAACAACTGGTTGCTTGAATTTGACCAAGGGAGACAGAAGTATGATTTGTTTGATGTCTCCAACATGGTCCAAACTGGAATTGTTAACAATCTTTCTCAACTCGCACCCTCGGAATTAAAGGTGACACGCGCCGTCGTGGATCACATAGTAAACAACGTTTACGTTGTCCTTGTATGTAATGTTGTTACGTAGTAAACAACGTTGTCCTTGTATGTAATGCAGACGGCAGCGATAAGCATCTTACTTGGATGATCGGTAAGTCCAAGAAACAGCGTTGTCTTAAGAACATAAACGTTGGTACTTTACCATTCATCTCCTCTCACCATAAGAAAGCTTGGATCGACAGCTCATTTCGTAAGTGGCTTCTTCTTTTCAATAGTCGAATGATGACTCGGAATAGGCAGTTCTTCTGACTTTGGACATGTGCACAGCCCATAACATACATGATCTGAACTTAACCAATGCACAGGTTCACTCCCCCCCCCCAAACGCAACACGTCGCCTTCAACCTTTCGAGCAAAGCATTTTTTTCTATTACGAAGAGGTCATACCGTAAGCGACTTGTGAGAGCTGCAATCCGTGCTGCTGAAAAGAAAATGGTTGCGCCAACTTGGAGAGTGCTTGATGATCGCCGCATCCTGGGATTCTGTCGTCACAACACATGCAGAACTGTTTTAGCAGAGCCTGGAGACATACAGACTCTAATCCTGATGACGCGATGATGGAAACAACGATACTTAACCTGACGAATGGAATATTCTACAAGACGTTTCGAACCTTGAAAATAGTTTTGAGGAGTTCGTTAGTGACATCGTTATCTGACGATGTCGCCGTGTGTGCTTCAGTAGAATCTGACGTTCAAAGAATTAATTGTGTCTGAGGTGCAATAAATGTGATCAGAAGAAAGAAGAAGAGGACAATACCATTCCCCCTACTCGCCAGGAAGTGTTACCCGTCTTGAACACTTCAGAATTATTTGCTGCAACAATAATATTGGCCGCTTGTTTTACGGAAACCATGAGTACAGTTGGTCGACAAGTTACCGGGCATTTTCATTCCCATCTGCGACAGCGCAATACACAGGACAATTCACCAGAAATCGATCTGCGAGTACATGTTTCGCGTTACGGTACAGTAATTTCCTTCTCGTGTCCATTTTCTGTGTTATTGTCACAAACTGATGTACGATAGATGCACTTGGTAACACTGTCGATATAAAAATGTCATATACTATAGTGTTTCTATGACATAATATACAGTAGTACATATGTCCCTACATACTGTAATGCTGTAAATGATTTGTGTGCAGAAATAACAGTTTTCCAAAAATAAAACTTGACTCATTTCACGAGTTTTACTTTCTCGCACTTAAGAAGAAACGTCTTAAAAAGAAAAAGGAATGTAAAGCAGCGCGAAAAATGGCGCGTGTTCGGCAGAAAAATGTTTATTACAGGGCCCTGGTAACGAAAAAGTGGATAAATCCAGTTGCTTAATTTAGAAAAAATCCTCCAACACGTGCTTGCCAGAATCCATTGTTTCTTGATATCGAAAAGCCGATTGATGGCAAAACATCAGTCCGTCCGTCTGTGAACAACGCTACCGGCAAAATTCTTTTCTCCACAATTATTTACACCGGCAGCCGATTTTCTCCAAAATTAATAATCCCCAATCGATCTGGCTGATGTCGCGGCTCTGTGAAGTTGAAACCGATGTTTTAATTTAGCGCAGATCTCATGTTGGTTAAAAACTGTTTATTTTTTCGAAAATTGAAAAAATTCAAAATATTTTATTCAACTAAAATATTAAAGATAAAGATTCTTTCCTTAAGGAAATATGTTCCTTAAATATGGATTTTGAAACAAGGTCACGTTTAATTTTTTTTAAAATTTGGGTATTTTTTGCGTAATGCAGAGTTAAAAATAGTCAATTTTAATTTTTGTTTAAACAATTTTTTTTCAAAACACTGCTCCATCGTTTTTGATGAAATTTTGTTGGTGGATAGTCTGAAGGGCAATTAAGAAAATGGTGCAGGTTTCATGTTGGTTGAAGACCCAGATTTTTCGACAATTGAAAAAATTCAATTTTTTTCGGCGTCTTTCTACTACAATTATGAAGATACATTTTTTAAATGAAATGTGTTCATCAAAACATATTTTCAATTGAGGTCCTGTTGGATTTTTCGAAACTATGAGTAATTTTGGAGTAATTGAGCTTCATAAGTTAGAATGCGTGTAGCATTTCATATTTCTTTGTTCGTTTCTTACATGCGAGCTTTTGTTCCACATTACAAATTAATCTGTTGTTTACAAATTATTCTTTTATAAATTATTTAAAACCTTTTTGAAATAAATATGAAATTAAGATTGCTAGCCTCCAGTCGGCCGCTCCTAATTTACATAGATGCTACGCAAGTTAGAATTTGTGTATTGTTTCATTATCATTTTATTATTATTTATTACATATTTATTTATTTTCTTTTTAAATTGCATCCTTTGTGTTAAATGTGAAATCGAATAGAGTGCGGTCATTGTTGCTTGTTGTTACCCATTGTCGTGACGCCGCGCCTCACAGATAACACGATAATGACGACTGCTTTTGGTTCCCGGAAATAAAAACTAATACTTTTACATATTTATAGAATATTACAACACCATAGGGTTTAATAATTAGAATATATATTTTTCGATTTACGTGTTTTCTAAAGCTATCAATATCGTATTATTTATTAACTTTTAAATTTACTTTAAACATTTAAAAATACTGTCTTGCATTCTATTTATTTTTGGCAACAAATGTTCTACAAAATATGATTCGGAGAGAGATTGTAGTATCAATAATATTACATAACCATTAGTAATGGTGAGGAAGTACGTGCTTTTTTAGCACCACTAGGTTTAACACGAACTCTTAATTTTTCGGCCCCTTGGAATTCGTGTTAACGAGGGTTTACTGTAGTTATTTTGTCGAATAATGCGTATTACACATGTTGACAATAATGTAAACAGATGAGTCCTGAGCAGATTCAGAAATTCAAAATCATTCCAATGTGTTTCACTGCGTTATGGTACAGCCTGACTCCACGCATGGTTCCAATTCCCTCTCCGTTTTGGAGCAGCGGAGAACTGCCGGTATCAATAATCAAGTGTGGATCGCCCGAATAATGAAAATATGGCCCGCAACCATATTAAAGGTTTTGTGGCCCTCGAGGCCTTGCAAGTTGGACACCCCTGAGCTAGATCAAATTCAGGCACTCTCATGAGGATAATTCTAACAATCTGCTGCTATGATCGGTAGGTTTCCAGGTCATTTCCGATAAAAAAAAATGTCAGGCGAAAGTGACAAGCAGAACCATGACAAGGAAGGCCAGGGACCACGCGCGATTTTCCCTTCCTGTTCCTAATTCCATCCTCTCCTCTTACAAAAGCAAACTTACACACACTACCTACTACACATGTCGGAAGACCAGTACCTGTCCTGGCTGGGGCGGTGACTCGCTCGAGGATACCTGCAGGGAGAAAAAACTGCATGCAAACTTGTGGTTCGGTGCCAGATTTTACGTTCCAGTGGGGAAGAACACCCCATCAGCCGGCTATAACAAGTGATTATCAAAAAAGTGTTTTGATTTATTTAGCACTTACAAATCTTTTTGGGGGAGTTTTTAAGATAGCTACGGAGGTGATCAATAGCTCATTCTATTCATCTCTGCAAAAAACAAATTGATTAGTATGATGATTTTTGATGATGATTACATTTTTAGTATGATGATTTTAATGTATTCTCGAAGAGTTCGACAAAATGGAATCTCTCTTTGGGGAAGGGTAAAAGGCACTAACAGTGGAGAGACGTACATTATTATACTGCCTTTCTCGCAAAACTTCAATCTTTACGACCCGATTTGTGAGATTAAAGATAATTACGTAATTAAATATGTTTAAAAATAAGTTTTACCGATTTTTTTAAATGTAACTGTGTGGGAACAAACATGGCAGACTGTTTAAAATTTATTTTTATTATGAACTTGCAATACAAAAAAATATCAACATAGAAGTACCTGCCGGAGACGCCACGCATGTTAGTATGGTAGAGTAAACTATATTGGACACTTCCATTCCTGGCCACCTACATATCAGCCGAACACGTCTGATTTGCAGTAAAGGCAAAACAGCTATTAGTCTTCTGACGCCCGGAACGAGTTTTCAGATATTGTAGCACGCAAGTTAAGAAGGGAAATACTTATCATCAAACAAGTTAAATATTTTCTACGATGTTCGATTGTACTAAAAACAAACTAATCTGCACATGTGTCATGTAATTAGATTAGTAAATGTTCGTTAATGTGGGTATGAAATAGAGATTCAGAGACATTCGTAATGTTAGTGACAGAACGGGAGAACGGGTATCGATCGCTTAAGATTAATTAATTTTCCCCAAACTAGAAAATGATATTCTTGGATATCAAACGAGGTCCAACTTATGACAGCGAACCTAACATGTCTGGTAAAAATACCAAGGTGTTTGTATTTAAGGAAAACAAGTAAGCGCCTTCTGCACTATGTGCAGAACATTCTCTCAAAGAGTTTTTAAAACGATGAACATTTAAACATATTTTGCCAATTTCAAGGTTTATTTTCAAGGTTATGCGATAAAAAGTAAGGCTACGCCACTGGTTTGACACTTGTTTCATCGATTTAGGGTCCCCTTAAAATCGTTGCGTTTAAGTTCATTTATATTGTAGGAAGGGTATCCAATATATATATATATATATAACGCTTTATCAATGTCGATATATAGTCACTACAAAATAATTATCTAAACGTGACAAAAGTAAAGTGCTTTCTCGCCTGCTTTCCATTATATGAGATGACACGAAAACAATTTCACAAATACGATGAGATGATACGAAAAATGCAATTTGACTAAGGCCGCCATTAACATATAAAATAAAAGCAACAAAAATCATGTATTATTTATTTAATGCTCATTAAAAACATAGTAAATTATTTTGCAATTTACTGGGAAATCATTCACATTTCATTGTTACAAAGTTCATATACATACACTCGTTTCCATTAGCTTTTGCATGCAGGAGATATATCGTGACAATTCGTCTTGTAACTTTTTCGATAATGAAAACTTGCCCAAACCATAATACATTCTTCATTCAAAACTGTACAAGTAATTTCTTCATATAACTGCACTGAAATATTTTTTGAAGTATGAATTGTACCACTACTAGCAAATAAGTGATAACAAAGAATTCGCATATGCCATTGGCTTGACGTCAGGGTGAGGCTGTAACATAAAAAACAACAACAAATTTTAACAAACATTCACGAAATTCAGAATTCATAAATCTACACATTTTACAGGAGGTGATTCAAGTACGGTTTCCATAAATTTAGGAATGCACCAAGATTAACATGAATTCACATATTTAACATTTGTTGAAATATTACAAATATTTATAACCTGAAGGATTGTGTCAGGGAGTTTTAATTTTTCTGTATCGCACTCTAAGTATAACTAACAGGCATCCTGATTTACGACATTTGTCTCAATCAATGCACAATAACGGCCTAATGTTTTTCTTGTTAAATGTCTTCTAAAGCGTGCATAATATCGCTGTCAATCAACTGCGCCCAAATTCTCCGCGGAATTACCAGCGAAGGACACAGAATTATTCCTTTTCTCTTCCCAATGGAAAGAGTCCAGGAGAAAACAAAATACCATCTTTCTTACTTTCTGTGTCAACCAGCTGCAGTTTGTTAACACGGTTCGTAATGTAAAATTATTATAAAGAAGCAAATTAAAAAAAAACAATTTACGATTGTTTTACAGTACGTACAAAAACTCTTTGATGGTCCATGCTATAGTGTAAAAATGACTCGCTCATTTTCCGTTAGAATTGATACAGTTGCCATACATTCGTATGGCAAGGTTTAGGTACCGTCACATTTTTTTAATCTCAGAGTTTTTTGTTTGCAAGGCTGCTGAAACTTCAGTCTCATTAGTTGGTTCAGCATCACGCTATGATAATTATGTAAATTACATATACCAAAAATTGCAATAATATGCCACCTAACTGTAACCACCATGTTTTATATTTTGGACCATTTGTGAACATTCATGGGAGATCCACGTTGCTTGAGCAACATCCACTGAGGATGGGAAAAGTGTTTCCAGAAAGTTAACTATGGAAAATTGTTATTAAAATTATAAAAACATTTGTGGAAATTATTTCCTTTACAATACCATGGATTACCACAAGATATCTGCTACCACCACGGAATTTATTTGCAATAATATCTTGACAGAAAGCTAGAGAAATAGCACATATAGACACTTACCACAGCTTTATACGTTACAAAAGTTGGCTTTAAGTCCTTTCCCCTTAACGTAATGAAGGCTCCCATGTTTCCCATGGAATCGCTGAAAAAAAATTGCACCAATGATTAAATGATACAGGTTTTTACTACGAAATTGCTATTTTAGCTTAAACTGAAACCAAAACTTTTCGCACAATATTTATATAAATACATGAATAAATATAACTTTTTATTGACTTTTAATTTTTTATTTTTAGTTATTAAGGGTCGCTTTTCAACTGGTATGCCGCTGTAATTTATATTAATTTTATAATTTTGAGATAAAGTTAACGGAACAAGCATAGGTAACGGCAGTGCACACACACAAACATCCATGCCGGGGTGAGATTCAAATCCGCGACCATTGAAGCCAAGGCAGAACTACACCTTTATTTACGTATTTGTTTCAAAAAAGTATAGCAAAGTGGAGAAACAGACGCTTAGCGCTCCTTCTAGACCACACGAAAGGTGAGTTTGACAAAATCAGCTCAGATTTTCCGAATTATTATTATTATTATTTCAAGTATTTATTAAAAAAACGCTTTTACTTTTAATATTCTTCTATTCTTAGACAACTTGCAAATATCTTTTCAAATTACTAACTAGTTATCTACGGTATTGCAGACATGGCACGTGTCACGGGCGTCACTTACAAAGGGCACTATTTAGAGTATACTCAATAAAAAAATAACAACCTTAATTTGAAGTATTCTGAAAGGGACGCAAATTCTATGCTTGCCATGGGCGCCTGAAGACCTAGATACGCATCTGCCTAAGAAGCAGGGGTTCCTGGAAGAGCTATATCTCTGAAAAATGTGAAAGGAGGCCCAAAAAGGTCTCATTTTGTAGAAATAAGTAACAACTAACTGGAAACATCAATCGCCCCCCGCCAATTTCCCACGAGTTCGCCCACCTGTCCCAGCAAACCTCGTGTCCTTTTCAAGAACCTAAAATTGGTTTAAGGGCCGAGGATGCCTCGTTTTCGAGGTATGCGTGTTTGTAATGTGTTGCAGTAATGTGTTCCCCTCATTACAATTTGCAGACTTGATGGAAGACTAAGAGCAAATTGGTGGAAACGCAAGTGAAGAGGCTAAGCAATGGTAGGATCCCCAGCTATTTAAAAAGAGACTTTAAGGAATTACAAGAATTTCTTTTGCTCATTATTTCTACATTTTTTAAATCTACAGGATTCTGACATATCTCAAATGGGAATGTACGCAACGAACTATTTGAAGGCTGACTGATGTGGAAAGAATTCAAAATTCTTAACATAAAAACTTAATTTAGTGTTCAAATTCATTAAAAATTTGAATTTCGGGCTGAACTGAGAGAGAATGTATTTGAGCAGTTAACAAAACGTTACGCTCTTCGACCTAAATCGAAAGGCTTTCTGTTGCTTGTGCTGTTACCATATGTGCCTCAAGCCCTTTAATTGAGACGACATTGAAACAATGTTAAAATACCAGTTTTTCGTTCTTTATCTTGAATGTCTCCTGACGTTTGTGATTTTCTATATGTAGTTTTGTAACGTATTTTTAAAATTGTAACTATTGTAAGATTTTACAAATTCAGTAGTAACTCGAATTCAGAGGCAAAAGTATACACTATTATATTAAATCCATTATGTTACTCCTTAATAATACTTATTTTTTCAGTAGTAGTTTATTTCGGGCATTATTTCTCTGAGAGAGAAAAATCGGCACCAGCAGTTACGTATAATAGTCAAGAATCTGTCATTCCAGCAAAGCGATTTGTTACACTAGTGCTGGTTCAATACATTTGGATTCCATTGTTCATTTTTGTTAGAACAACTGTGAGCGCAACAGGACCTTCTGTGTAACAGTTGCTTCAAACTTTACTGTGTGTGTGTGTGTGTGTGTGTCTGTGTGTGTGTGTGTAAGAGAGAGAGAGAGACGTAGAATGTGTGTACGTATGTGTCAGGGTTGCCATCTGTGTGACGGGCAGCTATACAATCGCGTTAGTAGCCATACAGCCGCATTAAAAATAACTCTGTTTCCCTAAGTACACTTTCGGATTTCCTTATTTATTGGGGAATTTATATTATATTGACACACTTTTTTGATAAACGCTCGACACAATGTTTACGTTATAATGAGGACAATAATCTCAATCGCTGTCACAGTAATGTAGTTTTTGAGCCGGTGCGGGCGGGCAGACATTGTGATAGAATGTTTTTCTTTTTGAGGTTTGACGAGCCCTAGAAACTTGCAATATAAGAATCGGATGTTATGAGAAGCTTGTTCCCGAGTTCAGCGTTAGTGTCTGCTCTTCATATTTTTCTTGTATACTGAATATTCTGTTCTTCTTCCTTCCTTCTTGGGCTTCCTCAGAGAACTGTCCAATAGAGATTTCTTGCAACTTGCAAATTGTAACTTTCCATTATATCCCTTCCATGGAACAGAATCTTATGGACAACTTCGGGTATGCAATACCAGTAGGAGATACAATTCTCTAGTGTCATTAATACATTTTCAAAATTATTGAAGTTACTTTTTTCACCACTGTTTAGGCATTCTAATATGACTCCAAAATGCTTTATTTTGACGATTTATTCCAGTTATTTCTCAATTGTTATTGCCTCTTTGTGTGTTTTGGCACGTCGACTACTAGCACTAACTCCTAACTGAATTTTTCTTCGATTCTATGCTCGTTTGCGAAACTTTTACTTTATTTTCCTCTCATCTTACGAGACTTGTCTGTATTTGCAGTTGATATGAAATGCGCAGAATATACTCAAATAGCGTTAGCCATTTTCCTAGCTAGCACTAACTGTACCCAGAAATATATATACATATATATATATACATATATATATATATATATATATATATACATACACACTCACATATACAGAATGTACGGGGAAGAAACGTCGAAACTTTGCAAATCATCTCTTTAAGACAATTTTAAACATTTTTGTCTAATAAACTACATAGATATTCCGAATGGCTTAGCCGCGATAAGCATTCATAAGTTGGTTTGAAGAATTTTTTCAAAATAACTTTTGAGTGCTGCTTAGCCTTCGGAATATCCGAGTAATTTATTAGAAAAAATATGCTTGAAATTGCCTTAAGAGCTTAATTTCGAAGTTTCGACGATTCCTCCTCAGGCACCCTGAATATATGAATGAATATATAAAATCTCTTTGACCTTCTTTTCTTAATTTTATTTCAGTATGTGTTCCCGATTTTTCAGTGGACGAATTTAACAGTGGTTTTACTTCCGTTTTATAACCTTAGGACCACGCAAACCAAAAGGCTTTAAGTGAGCTAGCTAATCACTGTACTCACATCATCTGATTTTGAAGTGCTTGGGGCAATTTTCAATGATCTTGTACAAAATTTAATGTATTCCAGAAGCCACGATGAGTAATTTTTATCTATAGAACGCTGCTTATGCCTCGCACATTTTCTCCATTTTTATTTTGATAAAGAACTGACAAAAATTTCTAATTTAAGTTTTCATCGCACTTACTGAAGGGTTTCTAACAGTTTCTTCACCTAATTCGAGTAAAACGTACGAAAGTACTTTTTACATACTTTGCCTCCGTGTAGCTTTTGAACTAAAAAACCAAATAACGACCTCCGAGAAATTGAACGATCCGCTGCAAAAAATAATTAAAAACTCTTGACTGTGCAAGTGTGCGCAGCTGACCTTGATTTCGATAGCCAAAAGAACAAGATTTAATATTTTTATAGTCCTAAGCATTTATAATAAATTCTAAATGAAAAGCTTAGATATATTTGTAAAATGGCGTGAAAATAACATTAAATACACTCACTTTTTCAAAGCATCCCACATGCAATCAAGAGCACTTTTTACTAATCTTAAGGCACTTCCAAAAGAAAAAAAAACCTTCAAAAACACAATTCGTTAAATCACTTCCGTGATATAAGTGCCAGTTGATGCGCATTGATCTTCAACACGGGATATAGTGAAATGCAACTGACAGCCGTCGGATGACAGCCCAAATCGTGCATGTTTGAACTTGTTTTACTGCCATCTCAAAAGAAAATAAATTCCTATTTTATGTAGTATGGACCTTTTAAAATCAAACAAATACTCCAGGGATTTGTGACTTCTGAAGACTTTGGAAAATGGCTTTTTTCCAGCTAGATGGCTGAAATGACACACTGAGCAGCACCTGAATTCAACCTAACTGACAAGGTAGTGGCGAAGATCTTGACACTGTTGGGACTCTAAATTAGGACCACCAGGTCAGAGGAACTGCAGTAATAACAATTGACGCACTGAGCCACCTCTCCCGCGTACTGTCCACGCGCCGCCTATGCTATTAGGGTTTATCTAAACATCGTCCGGAATCACACAGAATGCAACTTAAAATGCATTTTTTAAATTTCCACACTGACTTGTAATTTGAGCGCTATGAGAGAAGATCAAGGTGAAATTCTTCAGGATATTGCTGGAATGAAGAAGAGTCAGCGGAAAGACAATGTAACATATGCTGACCGATTATTTCTGGAACCTGTGCAACAAGCTTCTAGTGAAAATTGCAAGGAATGTAGGGGGGGGGAATTAAAAATTCGTATTCTATTTACTGCATTTTCTTCAGCAATATATTTAGTTTTACATTTTTTATTTTTTAGGGGGTTGTCCTATCAGAAAATACTTTGGGGAAGCATATCCTTCAACTATAATAATATGCACCATTCCCCCACCAAGTTTCCATTTTGCTCAAGATGCACAAACTTTAATATAATCGCGGAGATGCAGATAAGATTTCTTATATTTCAATACACACTTTTTTTATAACAACGAAATTGTATTCGTGAAATTTTGTTATACGTGCTCTCTCGAGATGACAATTTAAATTAATTATAGGAACACTTAAATGTTAAATGATAAGATCATTTTCGTTTCCAATTTCGGATTCAGGCAATATGAATTATAAAAATAACTTTTACGGGTTGACATTTCGCAAAAGGTTTAAAACAATAAATAATTTAGTTGTTAAAAGAAATTTTCAACCAAACTAATAATAAAAATTATCAACAAAATTGTACAGTGAAATATTATTTCGTACGACGTGAGTAGTATAATATGAAAGTATCAGACTCTACACGAATTGGGTTAATTTCAAGCATTTGCGTGACTATACTAAGACTGAATTCTCTCATTGTCATGTTAGATCATTATAAACATTTTCAGAAACAAAGTGTTAATATGGCTTTATACAAGCTTAACTCAAAGTCACTGTTAAAGCCTGCCTTTAAAGCAAAACAGGAAAATGGCTTGTATTACGCTACATTCCTTGTGAACCTCAGAAACAACAAAGACAAAATAAAACACAAAAATTGAATACTTACCAGTAATTTGGAGCGCTAAAAACCGTTATGCACTTTCCATCGTGTGCCATTTCGTACCCCTCGCTTTTCACTTCATGACTTCTAATAATATAGTCCAAATCATTCTTTTCAAGGAAGTTTTTGGTAACGTCTGGTCCGAATTGCACACCCACGCCGCGTTTGCTCGGCGCTCGCCCATTTTGAGGCTGAGGGTCGGACCATAGCAATTCACACATTATTCCTGAAAATACAGAATAACTTATGACAACGTTATATTACAAAATTTAAAATGCAATTACTTTCTTTTTACCAATTAATTAAATTTTACACTATAAAATCTCACCACTGTTCCAATATTAGTACGACCATTGCAACAAAAGTTGAACGTTATTTTTAACTTAAACAGGGTCAAAACATGGCATATATGGGGCTTTGTGTGATGCTTTTAAATCCAACATGTTGAAGTAAATCGAAAATATTTCCTAAATAGATTCTCTCATTATACAACTCACCAATTGTGAACTATATTTAGGTTATATGGACTGTTGGGATCATTACCTAACCTGACTAAATTATATTATAAACTTTAAAACACACGCGAAAGGAAGTTTTGAAATTCATTGTCTTGTACGGGCTACAAATTCGTGCAAGTAAAACATGCGTAAAATACTCGTACTATAGGTGAGAGGGTTTACAATAAACTTCCACAGTAACCTCCCTGAGACTCACTCTTGTTAATGCCAGATTGTACAAAACCTGCCCAACACGATATTTCCCTAGTGATTAGGCCTAAAGCGATATCGCAGTCGGAACGTACGTCGGCGACTAACATGCAACACTCAGGATGTCGACACTCGGATTTTAAGGAGACTTTACCAGCAGTAGTATATAACCGAAATACGGTTACTATCGGCCGTCATGCAGGGACAATCAGGAGCGGAGGCCGCGAGGGTGCGTTTCTCCCAAGGCGAAGAGTCACTTTATCAATTCTCCTGCGGAAATCAGCTTTTAGATTGACTGGAAACAGGATCGGACGCGATAGTATGTCTTCTTTTCCATTTCAGTACAATTTTGCTCACTTTGCATTTTAATCGGGTTATAAACAATTAAATAATACGAAATCTTGGAATGCAATTATAATATTAAATTAATTTGGTTTCAAAAGGTAAATTTTACGAAGATTTGTAATGTAAGCACATGGTTATTCCAATGACCTTTGTCGTAAAAATCCTATTCCTCGAAAACACACTTAACTTCTCTTGAGTCGGTATTCATTATTAGTAGGGATTTTCAAACAACTAGAATGAAAAATAACCACAAAGAAACAAGTCATGTGCACTTCAATTTGTACTCCCTGCGTTTTCAATTATGAGTAATTTTATTAATAATACACGAAACCACCAATAAAATGCCAGTCATATACTACGATTCTTTGTGTTTTCTGTACATTATATATTAAACAATATTATACATACGTAAAATACAAGTGTATATGAAAATAAGTATCACTCGAGTTGGTATCCAGTTCCCAGGCAACGACTCGGAAATTATTTTCGCACTTCTGTTGGTGAGAACCTGCTGTCACCTGTCTGAATTGTTCCTAAGGCGTTGGAAATCACACGGTCCTCGGCCACATTTCAATTGTTAGTATTTTTGTTCAACGCGTGTTGTAACTATCAAAACCACAATTAAATAGTACTAATCATTTTTGATTGTGCACTATCTGCTGACAAAGTCTCACAAAAATCCGAGTGTTCGACATCGTGAGTGTAGCGTTTAAGAACTCACCAGACACCTCGACTACAAGAGAGAACTACATCATGCTCGAATACATGCAGGATGATGTGGGCGATATGGGATATGTAGTAGTTTGCCATTACATCCCATTCCACATTCACGAGATATAAAACTCCATCAAGACCAAGACAAAGCAATTTTTGTATTTTCGACATCGAAGCAATAAATACCGGGATTGTATTTGTACTATATTCAAAAGTTTCAAAATGACCATCAATAACTCTACGTGTCCCCTTTTGTGCAAAGCCCAATTGCTGGACAATGGGCAAGGCACTTCTTCAAATTTTTAGTTGACCTTACGTTGGGTATAGCATTTCGATAAACTTTATTTTGGTCATATAGTTCACGCCACAGATGAGACGTTCCAAAGCAGGCGGCATTGCCTTTTTGAATCTGTGTTTCAATAGCCATTATTTCCTACAGGAAGCAAGATAGAATTGAATTTCTCAAAATCAACAACACACAAATTGCACGGATCCAGCAAAATGCACCTTTTCACAAAAACCAAAATCACAAAAAAAGGGAGTTACCGACTTATCATTTTCAGGACTTGTTACAAATAGTAGCTTTCTCACCTCAAGGCATCTAGAGAGTGCCCGCGTACTTATTATTAGAACATATTAATGTAAAGTGATTCCAGAATATGCTGAAATCAAAATTATATGTTGTTACAATTGTGTTGAAGGTCCACTATCGTATATTAAAATTCAATTTTGCAAATAGGCAATTTTGCATTACCTTCTGACAAGATAAATTGCAATACTTAAAACTAAATTAAACTAATTAAAACTGGCATTTATTTTAACTGACAAGGTTGACGTCTTAAGTTTTTTACACCGACCACACAAGTAGACAAACGGTCACTAACGCGCCGCAGAGTAGTTCACAGTTGTACGTCGACTTCGCAGCCACTGGACAGCATCTGAAATTCCGTTCGGCTGCCCGTTTTCGTCGGAAAGGTCTGAACGGACATTCCCGAACAACGTGTTTCGTCATTTGGAGTTCTACTCCATAGTAGCAAGAAAAACAGTCTCTTGCCAAACTTTTGAAGAGTTAACCGCACTGGCCGCGATTGGTTTGAATAGAGCATCTGAGCACAATTTCAGCAGAACCAAATTCGAACTAGAACAATCGATGGACATGATTCCAACTAGGAAAATCCCCTGGGCAAAAGCCTAGGCTATTTAGCAGAATAAAAGCCTAACACTGCAGAAGCCCTCCCTGCAATAGTGTTCTTGCCCTGGAGCACTGTCAGACTCAATTTATTTTTATCTCCCCGTCTTTGTGATATTCAGTAATGTAACATACACAAAGTTGCCATACGCAGCAGTGTTGCAAGTGTCATACGGAGCAGAACTATAAGAAGCATCTTCATAAATTTATATCTCAATATCAACGGCGCCAGAAAGGACTTTAAGAACAATCAAAAATTAATCGGCACTGTAAACCTTCATCATGAAACCGAAGTGGAAAGTCTGTATAACAAATATTGATTTTGGGGAGTATTTCATGTTTTATATTTCCGGTCTTGTTCTTGCACCGCTTTTTGAATCCGACTTAGCTGACAATTGTTGACAAGTTTCTATCCTCTCAATTAACCAAGAGAATTCAGTTTCAAATTATTTCAATTTATTGTCCTTCCAAAGAATTTGATTGTTCTTTCAGAGAACAAAAGAGCACATCCGGCCAACAGCACTGCTGGATGATCCCTTTTAACTTTCTCGTATATGTACGTATATACAAAGTACAAAGAAAGAAAGTTGCGAAAAATCGATTTCGAGATTTCAACGAAAATACAAGTTTTGGGGTCCCCTGATACCGAAAAGAGGCGCCTTGACCATACGGACATAAGATGTTAATAAAAAAAAAAAAGAATAAAATTTTCCGCGGTCGATATAATTTGACTGGAGGCGCTGCGCTTTTGATTTTTTTTAAAATTTGGGGTACATTACATAAAGCCACTGGGACATTTGCAAAATTTCCCAAAATATGACTCCTATTTTTTCTTTACATTTCTCGTAAGAATAGAGTCAACTACACTTATAAAGATAGCATAGGTCCGAATTTCACTGTTAACTGCAATTTTGGCAGCAATTTTCGGAAATTGTAAACTTTTGAATATTTTTCGCCGTCTTTCTACAACTACAAAATAGAAGCAATAGATTTTCCCTTCAAATGAAATTTGTTCTCGATAGTTAGTTCTTTCAGGATCATGTACATTTAAAAAAATAGTATTTTTTGTGTACTATTCTGTGTAATAGTGCAATATTAAAAAGTATCAAAAGCAAGATTTTTGCAAAAACTGCACCAAATGTTTCTTTAAGCTTCTGCTACTGATAAAAATATGTACTCTATAAAATGACACGATCATCATATTGCTCTATTCCTTTGTTGTTGATTTTTTCAAAAATGTAATTTTTGTGATTTCTCTCATGTCGGTAATATTTACATTATCGGCGATTTGTTTACATTATTGTATTTATGAATGGCCTCGTGTCTAGGTACTGGTCAGCGTGCTTGCTTTCCACTACGCCGCCCCGGATTCGATTCCCGGTCAGGCAAGACTTTAGTGTGAGTTTTCCTTGCTATGTCCCAATATATGATGCTGTGTGACGATGAGAATATTCACTTCTCAGGTTGAGAAGAGCAGAATACAGCGTGGGGATGTCTACGTGCCAACCACAAGTACCCCCTTCGCCCATGGCCGCGAGGCAGGGACGTCGCCGGTAGGCCTGAGCCCGTTCACGGGCTGTCGCGCGAAGTACATACATACATACATACATACATACATTTATGAGTACATGTCCTTTAAATTATATCATAAAGTTTCTCGAAAACTGAACTGTTGGCTGGAAAAATGAGCTAAAATTTCCACATTTTCAGAAACGATCAAACGCCATTCTCAAAAATGTCTGCAAATTTTTACTTCAAACTTCTCCAACGGCTAATGCTAATTACTCTGTTACAATAACAAAGTTCATTTTGGGGAATTCTTTTGTTTTCAAAAAAGACAAATACAATTTTAAAAAAATATGTCTCACGCCTTTAGAATAAACATTTCCCGCGATTTGTATAAATTATTGCATTTGTGAGTGGAAGTGCTTCAAATGACGTCAATGAAGTTTTTCGAAACTCAACAATTTTCTGTGAAATAAAGAGGTTTTACCATTACAGTAATATATCAGTTCTACCTTTAGAACACCGAAAAATTGAGAAAATGTAAAAAAACAAAAATGTTGTTTGGGCGGCGACAATGTCAGCTGGCAAGAGTCCTTGACAATACTTGAAAGCTATGCTAAGAAAAGCTAAAGAAATAAGAAAACTAACTAGTACGAGAAAGTATGTCATTCTGTAGCACCACTAGCTTATGTTGTTTCTTTAGGCTGGACCAGTTTTGTATTGTTTATTACTGGGTATGAGTAGCCAGCTACTAGAGCGTTGTCAGCCCCACGATCTTGAGAAGAGTTTTGAATGAGCCGTAATCATTTTTCTAAGGTTAAATACACTAAGTTTTAAGCGTGATGTACATGCAAATCGCTGAATACTAAATGCTGTATTTATTCAAAAACAGAAACGTTCAGTTGCCATTAATTAAACACCTCACAACATTGAAATTGAGTTTGATTGACAATTGAACTGCTAAGAACTTGAAATCTGGTAGCGACTAGATAAGTTGGAACAAATTCAATTAATAATACACAGAATAGAACGGCTTATGCTACGATTTTTATCGATGTGTGGCAAACTGACGAGAAGCGAAATCTGACGCTCATGAGGGTATAACGTTGCGACGCTAAAAATAAAAAAAATTCACTTAAACCACATAACATTTTAAGATCCACACACGAATACATTAAGAACCATATGTTGTTACGGAAAGTCCGAATTGGATAACCTCTTCCGTAGTAAGATTGACGTCAGGGATCCCACAAGGAAATTGGTTTTCATGAATGCTGTATTAGCGAACCTCGCTTTCAATGTACAACATTTGTAGGCTCAAAATTATGCAACGAAAAAATTACGATGTACTTCAGCATTTACTTTTATGAACATTAAGAAAAAGATAGAGTAAGAATCACTCGCGAAAAGGCAGACATCTGTCTGTGCTGTTTAAAAAGCATTATACGTTTATCCAGATTGAAAAAAACAAAAACAAATTTAAACCTGCATCTGCCACCCACAGCTGATCTAACGGGAAGTAATGGAATAAGTTCAGTTTGACTTCGTTTAAATATCTTCATTCGGATAACATGTTTTCCATCAATTGAAAATTTACACATCTCTCTCAATCTCAATCCGAGTACATCCTTTAGCGCCATTCAATCAGTCCCCTTTAAGATGAGGTTTCAGCTCTCTAACCGTAATTGACTTTTTTCCTTTCGACGAGTAATAATGGCTGTAGAATACCTATTCCTGTAGGATATAGACCTGTATGACACTACTTAACTTAGGTGAAATTAGTTACCATAGTGAAAATTTCTTCTATTTTTTATCGTTCTCTAAAGCAAAAAGTAAGATGTTTTTTTCACTGTCATGTCACCTTTTCTGACAAGTGTTCATGTCATTACAATCTACTATCTAAATATTATGTGTCGCACGTACCTTCTTCTGGTGGTTGGCGATTTCGATCAATATTTCGTATCTCAGTCAGTTCAACGTCATCTCTTGAAAACAGGCCGCCATGCATAACCTAAGAAACTCATTTCGCGTTAAACAACATTAACAATACCCATAAAATATATGAAATTGTGCGATCTACCGATGCACATACTAAATTACATTAAGTTAATCAGGAGTATATTTTTGTCACCAAATTCACGTAATTACCATCCCTCTTAGAAAGGTAATTTCTGACGAACATTTATTTTAAAACAACTAATTGAATTTTTTTAGTTAATTGATATATCAACATACATTAAAACAAAATATATACTGGCAAAAACACTTAATAGTATTGTTATTATCATCCTAAATACAACAAGCAGGTGAATTTGGACGAACACAAACATACTCCGATTGAACCTATTGCAAAACTGAGCTTGCTTGTTTGCTTGCTTAATTTTATTTCAACGACGCTTCAACTAATGATTACTTGCACTCAAGTAATTTTTAAAAAATCTTGAATAAAGTAAACAAAATGATATACACAATAAAATTAATGAAGATGTGATTAATATTCACATTTATAGCAATATAAGGGTCAAATCTAAAATTCTTAAAATGTGGCCGTTTAGCTATGATCAAGACCCGTTCTGTCAAACTTTATCGTAAAATCTACTTTCTCTAAAAAATCAAATAAAAATAAAGGGGCTTGAAAGCGAGGTCTCATCATTGCTCAGTACCTCACGTAAACAACTGCCAATGCAGGACTGTGTAAGTACCAATGACCGATCTAAACACGTGATAAACTTGTTTCTGCACACACGGACACCAGGATGACAACGTCCAAAGACAGTGTTCTGAATCAAATTACTCCACTTCATGAGGAGAGGATGGTGCGTACTAAGAAAGTCATGTTTCATAAGTGGGAGACAAAGGAAATATCAATACTTGGCTTCCGTTTTGCCAATATTGCCGCGGCGTCAGACAATTTGTTTCCTGTGATTAGCACATGGCTAGCAACCAAACATATGGTAACCTAATGGTACTACATCACATACTTTCTCCCGTTATTTGTAACTTTTGAAATTCTCGAAACTTCAGAGTTCAACGAAAATGAGACCTGTCCCATTTTAAGCGTCCTTTATTCTCTCCGGAAAAAAAAGAACAAATTTGGAGCAGTTTTGAGGAAAAACCAATAAACTGCATTTATTTCAAGCAAAATTCACCCGGGAACTACGTTCTCGTTTTCTTACATATTTGTACCTGAACGATTTTTTTTAAACAGCCAAAGAAAATAACCTTTCTTCAATACTTTGGTTGTAGGAAGGCTTTAGCAATTTTCGAAAATTCAGATTTTAACGGAAGTGAGATCTGCACCATTTTTAAGATCCTTTTGAACTATCCGTGGAAAAGTTTGATTATAATATTTGAAACCATTTTTGAAAAAAGGTGAAATTGTTTAAGTCGCATGTAAAGTACCTCCACCCATTCAATATATCTGTTCCAAATTCAAAGGAGTGCGACACCACCCAGATCGATCTGGGAATATCAATTATGCCGAAAATCCGCTGAATAGAATTAGAGTAGGGTTGACGACAGACCGAGGTGTTGCGTCAACCAATTCTTCGGTATCAAGAACCTGCAAAACGTGGATTCTGACTACTCAACGTATTACTGTAAGTATTTAACTACATATAGGGAAAGCTATCCACATTTTCGATATCACGGCCGCACAATACGAGTTTGTCTGTCGAAAAATCACTGATTCTTGTAGCAGAATTACAGTACTATCTCTTTCCTACGTTAAGTTCGTAGCATGAAATGAAAGTAAAATTATATCGTACAGCGGAGAGAATCGGCTTTCCCATGTTAAGGGGATCTGAGAAAAGGAGGAAAGAAAATGATTGAAATATACTTCGTGGATCACTGCATAATGTAATGAGAAAATAACATTTGAAATGTGAAAAAGTATCTTTATATTAATTACTGATTCTCGAAGTTGGGGACATCGTACGTCTCGGCAGAAAAGTGGCCCTGCCAAAAGTATAGATTTAATTAGAAGGGGTTCAATTAATTTCTTTGGATTAATTAGAAGCTAGCAAGATTTGGTTGGCTAGGGTTGGTAGTTAATTATTTTTGAAATCAGAGCGTATGTTTCAAAGTTCGACTACCCAGACCAAACGAGAGTATATCACTATCTCAAACAGCATAATGACACTGCTAGTTGTTGAGATTAGCGATAACCTGATGGCTAGAATAGGTTCTTCGGGAGAGCAATGACCAGAGACCTCCAGGTTAAGCCTAGAGATGAATGACTCAACCCAAATACGATTCATGAGGCCAAGGAGGTAACATCGAGCTTTTTCAGAGATGATTGGGCATTTAGATGTGAATCTGCCCAGGCGCTTTAGCAGAATGCAATATTGTAGGAGAGTGAGGGCAGAGAATTCTTTCTCGGATGTTCCTTCATGTGCGTTGAAATCTCCCAGCCACTAGAAAAATCCAATGCAAAGTTCTCAATCTGCTCTTCGTATTAAAACAAAAGCGCTGTAGTGTTATAAACTGGAGATGTTCTCATAGTGAAGGGTAAATTCGTCAAAAAATCTTCTGAGGAGGTGAGATTTCCATTTGCCAACCACCCTGGGGCAGTCGGGCAAGGGGGGAGCTCAGTAGGCTCTCCAGGATCTTGCTTTACTTTCTCACAGGACCATTGTAGCTGGTGGGTGAAGTATTAAAGTGCGCCTGCCGCCGGCCGCGCAGCGCGAGGGCTGTAACCATTGCACAAAGGCTCAGAGCGACGTCTTCACTACGGCTAAAATGGTCAGACAGTGGCATCGATAGAGGGCAATTGTCGGATATACAGATTAGGTTTGTATCATATTTCTTATGTTTTCAAGATTATTTCTCTGGCAGAATTTAGCGGCATCCCAGACCCAAATGTGACATCAATAAGAGAAAGAGTGGAGCAGCTGAGAGATGACTTCAAGTTCTTCTTGTGAACTGCATATTCTTGTGGCGAACAAATACTGCGATACTGCCGTAGCCACAGAGAGATGGGATGTTGGGGGAAAGTACAGGTTTCCTGGAGACATAAATAGTCAATGACGAGAAACCTCCTCTGAAACCAACCTCCCCTGCGCGAAATCTGTTTAGATTCAACGGGAGATCTTGGATTTGCGATTTTGTCTTTTTTACTTCACTTCCTGGTGAGTGTTTAAGGCACCCGTGAAGGCTACTCGACAGTATATGGCATGGCTGCTGCAAAGAGTGGAATATCCCAATCTTTTGACGCAAGGGGTCGAGATCTGAAGAAAAGCCATTTTGAACCTCATCTCAGGCACACAGCTTGGAGAGGGTAAGTGTTGCTGGTGACTTCTCATTGAATTTGCATGAGGTTGGGGCACGACCATACAAATCATTTGGTGAGCCTTGACATTCGCCTTGGACTCATGAGGAATTCGACATTTGATTCGATATTGTTTGTCAACTTTAAGATTTTGAGCCGAAGTTCCTATAGTAATCTGAAAGCGTTATTACAGAATCTCACGCTGCGATAGTAGAACGGAAAACTAGTAAAATAACACAAAGTTCCATCCCTGCTGGCAGTTGAACGTGTAGTCAGGTGAAAGATCGCCTACAAAGGTGATGTTTATATGATGAGAATTACCACAGTTTGAGTGCGGGATGATAACTGGCGTTAGACACATGGGGCATTCGATTCCTGAAGTTAATTCAGCAATTCTTGTTCTACAATGTCAGCGGTTCTCTGCGATTATAGCAATGGAAGTATTACCTCTCGCCTGGAAGGACCTTCGCCAGTGGCTCGCAGTGGCCTTCTACAGGGGGCACAAGCACCGCTGTCGGTTACGCCCGTGAGAACAGACAATCGACACTGCGTTAATAACGTGTACGTAAACACTTAATTATTTAATAATTACTTTTCGGCGATGTCTATCCACATGCTCCAGGTGGTTATTCTCGGTATTCATGTGAGGAGCTGCATGGCAATAAAACTGTGACTGACTTACTAAAATAGTATGAGGAAATATATTTTCATTTTCAGGTCACCAGAAATGGATAATCTGAAGGGACCTGAAGATGAAACGATCAGATTTCGTTCGGCCCACATGGAATTAGGTTTGATGAAATAATTTTTTAAGGCATTAAATATGGATGGCGAATGCTTTGACTTTTTATAGGCTGCACTCTTCCTACTCTGTTTCTTGAGAACATCAAGGGAGGTGTTTCTGATAGACTTGAGTGTTTGCACATTTAAAGAATTTACCAGAAAGACAAACAAGAAAAAATGCATTGATGATTAATTACGGTCATGAAAAACTTTCTCAGTAATAAAAAGGCTGACATCTGAAAAAACTTGCTTGATAATATGTTGTCAGTATTTTGTTGTCTCGGATGTAACATGAGTATCAAACGTCGTTTCCTTTACATTTATCTTAATACACATCATTGTTAGAGCTCGCTGGATAACCAGCTATTTGTTCCATATGCAATTGCACGCTCTGTGTATTACGAGTCAGGTAGGCTCATTATGTTGAATGCTGTTGTCAACCCGATTGCATCTAGCTTTCAGGTTTTTCTCACACCCACGTCCCTGCTAGTTCCCTTTCACCTTTACCTATCTCAGAAGGCACAGGCCGATTGCATCCCGTCCGGTGTTTAGGGACAGGGAAGGAGGAAATAATTGTTTGCATATATGAGTAGCGCAAATAGATGTTATCACACCAGTCGAGAACATTTTCAATACAGGTGAACGTGGCAGAATCTTCTGAACTGTGTACGCTAAATGAAATATTTTTTTTTCATTCTACATATTTTAAGAAAAGACCAGGCTCACTTTGACATTGGCGAAACTCACGATATAGGACATAAACTTCAGTTTCAATTAATTAAGAAAGTTCAATTATTTTTAATTCCAAAATCATATGCTTTCCTTTCTCTACAAGAGTAAAACAAAACGAATCACGTAACAAATATTTGTACAAAGAGATATTCTCAATATCTTCGACACCTTGAGTTCTTCCTTGAGGAAACACAATCGGGATGCCAACAGGCTATGGCTTTGGGGAG